ACAGGAGGGGTTCTTCATCGCATCTGAACGAACAGGAGGGGTTCTTCCCCCCTCCCCTTACGTCAGGAGAGCTCAGCGGAGAAGTCGTCAGATTTATTTTAAAGCAGTCAGTCAAGACTGATACATATTTAAATAAAAGTTAAAAAACACATTTCTGTGTACGGTAAATATCTGTTTGAATACCAGTAGCTCATTTAAGCTTAAACGGGGGCATTAAACAGAGCGGAGGAGACAATGGGAGGGGGGGCTCTTCCCTCTTCTCCTGATATGAGCTCTGCTGAGGAGAATCACGTCAAATTTATTCAGAAAGTACATTTAAAAACAACAGCTGTTACCAAAAGTGTTTACCAATAAAAATCAATGGTACAAATTTATTGAATATTTACCGTATTTTACCGGTACTATTTGACTTCCGGTCACATGACCTTGTTAAGACTTCCGGGTAATATTTATCGGTATATAATTTACAAATAATTTCGGTTACGTAGGTGTTTGGCACTGCTCTGTCCAGTGATTATGTTTAGATAGTTGTGGTGTTCGTTCTGTAGGTTTGATGGTTTTAACCATGAGTCAGACAGCGGCGCTTCATGAACACTTCTGACGATCATGTTGTCTGAACATGTGCTAAAACAAACTATATTCTGTGAACGCCATCCGGTGGCCGACTCTTGTACTACAACAAGAAAGCTGCACGCAGCCGGAGCAGACTGGGGGCACAGATCCTGACGATGAACGGTGGATGCCCACGGCTAAATAACTGGAGCGTCTTATTTATGTACAAAATTATGATTTATCTTATATTTAGTATGTGCGGCTTAGAGACACGTGCATTCTGTAGCCAGAGAATTATGGTACATAAAAACTAAGTTAATAACGTTATTTATCAGAGGAGCAGAACTCTCATCTTGAGCAAGCATGAAGGCGACAGTGGAAAGGAAAAACTCTCTCGTGAGGAAGAAACCTTTAGCAGAACCAGATTCAGGACAAGCAACTTTTAAGCAATTTAAAACTAGAAAGCATAGTTCCCTCAAACCAATCAATCAATCAATCAACATTTATTTATGGAGCACGTTGCAACAAGCAAAAGGTTCTCAAACTGCTTCACAGATCAAAAAAGTTCCTGGAGAAACTTAGATGGGGACTGCTGCGTGGCAGCCATTAGAGTTCTGTCAGACGTTTTGAATGAGAAAAATGGCATCTTTGTTTGTGAATTTCATCGCCATGGTAACTCGAAACACCAATAAAAGTAACAGCACACATCACGGTGCCAAGCCGGACGTTTGATATAACATTTGTGGGGGGACAAGATGCGGTTCGGGCCGCATTCAAGTCGATGGAAGAGTAAGATATAAAGTTAAGAAACCCTTTGTTGGTGGATAATAATAGGTGCTGCCTTAGTAGGCAGTCCCCAATAAACAACACAAATTAAAGTACAATACTTCCAGAGAGCCAGCAGGTATTAAAAGCCTGTTTTAAAGATTAGATTTAAGAAGGTCCAGATCAGTGATGGAGCACAATCCTTACTATCAACGAGCTGTGAAAACAGCCAGAGTAAAATATTTCTCTGACATTATTGCTGCTAACTCTCACAACCACCGTGTTCTTTACAATCAACACTGCCCTCAGTGCACATGGACCGGTCCCTCTGGAAGCGTCCGGAGAACTTTGTGATAAGTTTCTTCATTTCTTCTTGGACAAGGTTATTAACACCAGGGCTTGTATCTCCTTTCCATCCCATGACCCTTCCATCCCGGTCCCCTGTCCGGCTGTTTGTGATCTTTTGGAGCCTATTTCCCTCTCCTATCTAGAGAAACTGGTCACCAGTATGAAATCATCGGGTTCACCCCTTGATGTTGTTCCTCCATGTTTTCTTAAGGAGGTATGTTCTACTGTCGGCTCCTTTATCTTAAATGTGATCAACAGCAGTTTGATGTTTAGTGTGGTACTAAGCAATTTTAGACCTGCTGTGGTGCAGCCATTGTTGACAAAGCCTGGCCTTGATCCATCATGTTTGTCAAACTTTAGGCCAATCTCCAAGTTACCCTTTATATCCAACATTGTAGAAAAAGTGTTTTACACGCAGCTGAAGGTCTTTTTGGATGAATTTAAAATGTTGGAGCTCTTCCAGTCTGGTTTTAAAATGTACCACAGCACTGAATCTGCTCTTTTAAGGGTTTTTCATTACATATTTTTAGCACTGGATTCTGGAAACTGTGTTTTACTTGTGCTTTTAGATTTAACAGCTGCTTTCGACACAGTCGACCACGACCTTCTCATCTCCAGACTGGAGCAGTGGGTGGGCATCACTGGCTCAGCTCTGCAGTGGTTTAGGTCATAGCTTTCTGATAGAAGTTTCAGTGTGATGATGGATAATTTTACCTCTGCTTTTGCTGCCCTCCCCTGGGGGTACCACAGGGCTCTATTCTTGGTCCTCTCCTGTTCTCACTTTATCTTCTGCCACTGGGTTCTTTTTTCAGAATGCATGGTGTGCAATTTCATTTATATGCAGATGACTGTCAAGTCTACTTCCCTTTGAAACATAATGGCTCCACTCAGTCTCTCCTGGACTGTCTCAATGACATTAGAGGATGGATGGCACTTATTTTCCTCCATTTTAACAAAATTAAAAAAAGACCGAGGTTATGGTCTTTAAATCCAGTGGCCCTAGCAGTTTCCCCACCACTGATTTTTCCTCTTTGGCCCTATATGAAAAATCCATTGTGACAAATTTAGGGTTGAAAATGGACCCCTGCCTGAAACTTGACTGCCATGTCAACAATGTGGTTAAGTCCTCTTTCTTTCAGCTGATGTCAAAGGGCAGTACCTTACTGATGTCAGAGGACAGTACTAATGTCAAAGGGCAGTACCTTACTGATGTCAGAGGACAGTACTAATGTCAGAGGACAGT